AAATGTTTTGCCTTTCGTGTTTTAATAAAGTATTATGTATTCAAATATTTCACATAGATTTATTCAATTATCCGAGTGAACGAATTCAAAAATTTATATTAATAAAAAATCGCTCGATAAAATTTATAGGTATCGTATTTCAAGTTTTGCAGCCTTCTAATTGACATGCGTCTATTTGTGAACCTCTCGGACTATATAAATGCAGATTCGAGTAGTTTAACTAACGCTTACGTGAGCAAGCAGGCGGATACTTCCGCTATACGCCGTTCGCAGCCGAAACTACCGTAGATTCCGAGTCGGGGGCGACGTCACCGTGAGATTCATGGCGAACTCTCGGGCATGTAAACTTCATAATTCCATTCAGCCGCTATCGATTGCCGCACTTTAACGACTAAGGAGGCTCAATATCACGCCGCCGGATCGGGACTCGTGTCGGTAAATTAACGGCAGTTCGCGCTTTTACGACTTTCGGATTTGCTTTGGCGGCAGGCAATCATCTTCTGCATTATGCGCACATAGAAAATCGATATCACGCTGCCAATCTCGGAAGATAACGTATTCCATGGCAAGAAAATATTCATTGAAGAAAACTCGAGAGAAAAATAGCGTTAGAAAATAGAGAATCGCCGCGAAGAGACGTGGGCGTCCTTTAACTGTGGTTAAATTTTTCTAACCCGAAATGCAGGTTCTTATTTTGACAAACGATGAATAGCGTATGAGCAAGATCCAGATATAAATCAAATAAAGTAAAATGTGAAAACTTTCAGAGAAATTTTACATAAGATGATTAATTTGCTACAAGAGCGCGTAATGTATCTCGCGCGTTATACGATTTATTACTTTAATTAAAGTTCATGTAGATTTTTTTTATACACCTGCGGTAAAAAAAAGTTATCGTTCTTTATTATCGTGCTCTTTATCGTGCTTCTCTTATGCCGGTTGTTCGACCAATTCGTCCGCGTTCGAGGGACAAAAAGAGAGAAAGACGTTCTTTTAATTAAAATTTCGTTACGTATTTTAATAATGTACTTACAACAAGATTTCCTATGAGAATAATTTATATCCGCGATGTAATTTCTATTGCGGATTATACTCCGGGAATATTGTAATTGCGTGCGAGTTCTAAAACGTCCCGTTTCTATGCCCCAATTAAAAACCGCGTGCACATGGCGACGAATAGCCTTTTATACATCACGTCTCGGATATTTTAGACTTAATGCGCAATATCGTGCGGCCGTTACAATGAATTTTCGGTGAAAACATTATTTTATTTTCATAGCGCTCGTCTACCTCTATCTTTCTGCCATTGAGGTTGGTTTATCGGCACTTACGAGTTGCCGTCAGGTGCTCACAAAAGCTTGAATATCCATGTATCCGGATTTTATTTCTCTGTATTAAAAATTCTGGTACAAAAAAAAAAAAACGACCGGAATTTAATAGATTCGATTGATGCTAACTATGAAAGCCCGATCGATGCATCATGTCAGTAATTTCTGTTTTTTCCTGCCATCAATCTAACGAACGATACTTCTTTCTTCATGAATAACGACGTCGATTACATCCATTAATACATGATAAATGAAACGCCAACATACGCTCTCTCCATTCGAGCGAGATAAATATGACGCTTCAAGAAAAGAAATATACGGCAAAATAGCTATCTTTTTTCTTTGAATTCTGCTACACAAAAATACAACAATAATAAATTAATTGAAATTGTGGAGATGAAATTATTCATAAAGTATATTGAAAGTATATTGATTTTCAGATGTTTGTAAAATGAAAAACAATATTTCCATTAATCCGCATTCATTAATTTCTGCTTTTAAAAATATTTTTTTCAAAAAATCCGTTTTTGTCTCACTATTATATCACACAATCAAGTAGCAATATAACTGTTGGGCAGCCGCTGATAGCGAGACGTTTCCCATCGCGTTTAATATTATTCGCACGCTAATGGAGCTAGTCCGCTAATCGAAACGCGCGAGCGCGGTCGAAAGCCACTTCAACACCCGAATGCGATATAACGCGCAGCACACAGTGGATTTCTGTTCTGCAATGATAACGAGAGAGCGACACAATGAGTATTCAGAGGTGAGAGAGTACGAATGGCGCGGATAATTCGGTACGGTGCGCGTCGCGCGGCCACCGTGCGCTCGATTCTCCCAACACTTGTTGCTGCGAACGCGAATGCTGAGCTAATATCAGATGAAAAATCTCTCGTAGATGCGTGTATCTGCGCGTATAAAGCTATTTTAAGCAGTCGGAGAAAGGATTTAAGTATTCGAGCTATTCCCTGCGTCGAAAAGAATATTTAACGGGTTAAATCAATATGCATAAAAAAATTAAGTCAATTTTAAACATTGTCGTGTTCTAAAAACTTATATCATTGATTATCTTTATGTAAAATTTTGTATAAAAATTTTTGTAAAAATATTAAAAAATAATATAGCTATTAATTTTTTAAACTAACATTTCTAAAAAATTGACTCCAATTCAGCCGCGAGCAGTAAAATAAAAATATCAAATTTCTTTTTATTCTTACAATTATCTATTAATATAAGAAAATTTTATAATTTGTTGAAATAGCAAGAAACATGTTTGTAAACTTGAGAAACTAAACTAATATTTAAAAAAGACTATTAATTTGCTGATAAGAGAAAACCATTCTATCGAAAATCTGTTACGTGACTCGATATAGAATGTATCTAAGAGTATGCGCACGAAACTTGAAACAATTCTTATTAAAAAAGTTACAAATTTTAAAGAATGCCTGTGTCTAGAAAAAAATAAGATTAAAATCTGCATTAAAAATTATTATTATTACACTTTTCGACTAGTCATTGATGTGTCTGAAGTTTTAGAGAACTATTCTCGCGACATAAAACTTTCATAAAGTGTGACAAAATGCCTTTTTCAAACTTTTCAGTTACTTAAGTTAGTTAAAGTAAGGATATTCTCTTTTTACATTTAAATGCATTCATTCATTTTCCTCATGTAATTGTAATATCTATGTATTTCGAGATGGCCGGTTATATACAATATATGATCGAGTATATAATTATAAGTTAAAGTATAATAATTATAAGTTAAAGTTAACTCTAGCGTCCCCAAGCACCATCAATAAATGACGGATGGTCTGCTGTAATCGAAACCTTCGATCTCTGCCAGATACGTGAAGAATGATGTAAGAAGAAATCCGGGACTGTTTTGCGCAGCCTTGTGACAGGCTCTTCAGTGACAATGGCAGCTTTGTATGAAAAAGAGGGAAAGAAAAAGAGAGAGAGAGAGAGAGAGAGAGAGAGAGAGAGAGAGAGAGAGAGAGAGTGTGTGTGTGTGTGTGTGTGTGTGTGTGTGTGTTTGTGGGAAAACTCGTTATCGGCGCTCAGTGCGCATGCCAATTAACGAATTATTTCTTGTATCTCGAAATTGAAAAAACAATTTTCTTTTTTTTTTTTTTACGCAACACAGAGAGAGATTTTTAACAGATTTACTTCGGTCGGCTCTCTCCGTCGCTCTCTTTTCTGCTTGGATAATCGAAAGGCTCTCGGCGGAGTAATCCGTCATCGTTTACTGAGTCAAGCATCTCCCCAGGGTATTTTATCTCGCATTATCGCGCCGTCGCGTCGCGAAGGAGCGACTTGCAAAAGTGCAAGATTTTCGAAAGCTCAACTCAACCTGACCTGACAGCGCGCGATGCTCCTCGACGGTTCTTTGCGACGCGATACCGTAAGATCATCTCGAATTACTCTCGCGTTTGGATTACTGTCGCTCTTTCGCCCGAGACCGTTTATTTAACTCAACGAGGGAACGACGTGAAAGCATCCCCCTGAAACGCGACAGCCACCAACGCTTGCTCCTCTCTCTCTCTCTCTCCTCTCTCCGGCGTCGAAGTTTGAATTACCTGCAAATCAATCGTCACCGCCGTGTTTGCAGATGCCTCGCGTTTCTCGCGTTCACGAAGGTAACGTGAACGTATGCTGCGTTTTATCGCAACGGCTCGCGTAAAGTTTCGACGAAAGCAAAAGAGCAGCCTTGACTAAAAAAATGATTATGCGTATATATGTATAAAATGTCTCAAAACTCGCATACATCCCTTTGATGACAAATTCAGAGCTAATTTTTTCTCAGCGAAAATATCCAGAAAGATCGCCATTTGTCGGACTTTTTTAATTTTCGACGTCATTCATCTTTTAAACTAGATTCAATAACTGACAAATTGAAATTAAAGTAAAGACCATTTAAAATTAATTGAAAAATGATCGTTTATTTGTTTCTTCAAAACTCAATTTATCCTTTTTTCCTCATAATTCTTATAACTTCTTACAATACTTTTTCTAAAAATATCAATGTTTCGACATTTATAGTGAGAAAAAAATCGACTCCGAATTAATCAAAGAATCTCATTAAAAGAATATGCGCGAGTGTTGAGGCAGCTTGCATAACTTCTTTTCCAACGGGACCTTGACAGAAACTGACATTTCCTTTCTCAAATATATTCTCATCCTCCGCTCTCGCGACATTTCTCGTTACTGAACGAAGGGTCGTGTGCTTATCAAAAGATTCAAGATGCGCGGGTAAAAGTGCATTCTCGTGTATGCATTACGAAGGGCATTTAGATCGCAAATATTCCATGTGACGTTCCAAATGTCAAATGATATCTGTCTTCAGCACAGAGAACAGTTGCTATTCTCTCGGATCGTCCGGCGGCGCCGATTCTCTTCCCGACTCGCGCTTTCGACATTCTGCCGCCCACTTCCGACGGAATATTCGTGTGGATGGAGCCCACATCCGGGCTCTCAGATTGCGAACACGCAATTTCGCGGACAAAAGCGTAAACGTAGGCGCGATTTCTCTACGTAGGGCGTTACGATGCAAGCGTTGCGTCATACATCGGCCGGCTTTTCCGGATAGGGCAGTGTAATTTGGCGACGCGGCGCTTGCGCCGCGCAAGGCGGGTCCGGGTCAACGGCAAGAACCCAGTCTAGTCGCACGACGAACGTTCAGCTGGCCTGGTTGCGTTGCGTCGCGACGCTCCGGAGTCGCGAGTCGCGAGTGTCCGCGTTTCTTTCCTTCCCTCTCTCGCACGCGCTCTATCCCCCCCTCCCCCTCTTTCTTTCACTGTTTACCCGTCCACCCTCGTCCCAGTCGCCCTTCCACCGGCAATGCGAAAGCCCGCCACTCCGCCGACGGAAAACTCGAAGCAACAGGATGCGATTGCGCCAAACGAAAACGTGCAATTTCCCGCGAAATTTTAGCCGCACGCCAAGACAGACGACGCAAAAGCCTTTCGGCTGAACATTGAAGGGAATCACCGGGCCGCGAGTGGATCGTATTGGTTTCCCGAGGGAAGAGTAATGCGCGAGTAACTGTTGAGAGGAGGAAACGCGAAACAGTGCTCTCGATAGATAATCGATTTTGGCCGCGAGCGATCAACGACAAGTTTGACACTTCCGCCGCTTCTGCGTTATCTCGAACGGGCGGTAAGACGCGGAAATAGTTAATCCGTCAAGAGAGAACGAGCGAGCAGCTAACGAAGCGGAGGAGAAAACAAGGTCGATGGACCCCGTAGTGCTGTGAAACTGTCTGGTGATGCGTGATCGAACAACTTCCCGAACGGAGGCTGTTGCTACTACTGTCATCGGCGGTCTCGCGAGCGAGCTGGTACGAAGATCGTCAATCGATTGCGACGGCGACGGGGCGGCGAGCGCGGAACCCGGCTTTCTCGGCCTATTGGGACAATCGCATGCGACGGCTTAAGCCGGTAGGTGAATCTTTCCCTCCTCCTTTCTTTTTTTTTCTTTTTCTTTCTTTTTTTTCCCTTTTTCCCTTTACTTACGCCTTTTTAATGGGAAACTCAGCGCACGGCGCTGCAAAAAAAAAAGAAAAAAAAGAAAACGAATAAAAGCTCCGGGTGCAGCGCCGGAGAGAGGAAATTGGTTCGTATCGACCTCTCGTAAGTCCCGATTTCTCGAATCGTATGGTTGAAGATGTTTGCCGAAGGTAACATCTCACATTGTCATCATTATCTTCTCAGATAAATTCTATCCTCGGAGAAATTTATTCGCATTTATTCGGACGGGGAATAATATCACCAGCCGGCACAATTCTTACCGCCAATGATTTTTACGCTCTTCGCGACGCGCACCGCGATGATGTAATAACTCGAATGTAAAGACGCAATAGAAATGATATATCTTTTCCTTCACTAAGATTCCACTTGCGACTAGTAGAGGATGTGCATAATGGTATCATGTTGCAATATTTATAACTATTATACGAGCACGGAGGCCGAGGTTAGAGGTTGCTTGTTATGATGCTCATTGAAGAACGCGGAAATAATTGATTAAAGCCTTTTTAAAAGCTACTCCAGCGTAAAGCCGAGACGCGGCGTCAATAGAATCCGCGCTGTGTATATCCGCAATACCGGTTATATTAAAGCGTATGTTACGCATGAGTGTCGCGAAAAGATAATGATATAATGGCGATGAAAATACAGCTAGTTTGAATGTGTTCTAGAATGACATGTCTTTTGAATAATAAATAAAAATATAGACAAGGAAAGGCAGTCACGCGAAAATAGTTACAGCAAATTATAAAAATGTAATAATGAGCTCGCAAATTACAGAATTAAGTCTGGCCTTCTAGTCACGCGGAAAACACGGATTTGCTTTTAAATCTAGATTCGAATTATAAGGAAATATGTAACAAATTGAATAGCATAAAAGAGGTGAAAACTGATCACATGAAGTATATACAGAGATATATAAAATGGTATAAAGGAAAGGTTACGAAACACAATAAGGCGATGGAAAAGATAAGAATGAAATACGACGCAATATATTATATTTCGATAATGCAAGTCCTTATCGAAATTGTAATGCTCCAGATGCACGTGTGTCCCAAGTATTACGACTGCAATATGTACGGCGGCCTTAATATCTATGTAAATAAAATATGATGCAGCTACATTCGTGAACGCGACGCTTTGTGTTTACGATCTGTTTCTCTCAATCCACAAGAGGCTGCAGCAACTTTGCAATCTTATTAACTGTGCAGCTACAAATTATATCGCGCACAATTGTACTTCACGAGTATCAGAAACGCGACTTTTTCTTTTAATTCATTAAATTGTTAAGTCAATTAGTTGAGATATCATCTGCAAATTAGGAGAGACACGGAAGAGTGGAGTGAAAGAATAATATACAATACGCCGCGCGCAAGATTTATTAAGAATAATATATCTGAACGTACTTCAAGAGCATTATCGCGCGGTTACATTTATCAAACGCCGCGCGCATTCAGGTGAATGATTTATTTCGAGCAAGGAATAGCAATTAGTCGTTTTTCCGTGTTCAGCGACAATCTCGTCGTCGCACGAAAGCTTCGAAACAAATGGAAATATCATGGTAATATCATGGCACTATTAATTATCGTTACGTTGGGCAGTACATGCGCAGGGTATGCGCCACGTCGCTCACTACCAACTCCCATTGCCGGTACATTAATGCGACCGCGCTTTTTTCTAATGTACAGGCTCTCGCACCACTCTAATACCACGGCGGTTATTGCAGCGTGGAGTATTCCGTAATAACGGTACGAAATTATTCCGGAGCAGTTTCGTCGCACTTCGATCTAGAGAGCACATAATTTTTGTATTGACTTGGGAATTTAATTCCCCAAACGCTCAACGCTCAGAAATTCATAATCGATAATTGATGCCGTGGCGTGTTCTAAGTGCGTTCATGATTATTAAACACATTTATTACGTATTAAGCATATTAATAAACATGATCATTAAACTTCAGTTTCGATTAAAATTGCACGCGCGTGTACAAAAAGAAGAAAAAAAAAGACTCGCCGAGGCAATTTCTGATCGGATCAGGCTCCACCGAAGTTGCCGCGTGAATTATTCAACTCCGGAAGGAAACGCGGCGGATAAAGCGGCGATTACGAGGGAAGGGTTCCGCCGTCCCTCCTTATACAACGAGATTAGCGGCATTTTATAAACGTGATGAAGGATGAACAGTCGAAAGGCGAGAAAGATAGCGCGACGCGACGCGGTAGCCTGCCTTCCGAAATATTATTACGCGATCATATATCCTGTGGCAAAAATAAATGAAATTGTTTCATGAAAAACGTGCTCTTTATACGGTCGTCAGCGAGCTTCCTAATAAGCCCAAGAAAATCTTTTCGACACGCTGGAACCTTTAATAAATCAGCGAGAGTTTGCGGCATATGTAGTATCACTCGGCCTGTCGTCGCGTGTCTCGCGATACAGAACTTCAAAAAAATCTCTCCGCGGAGAGAAACTTCCGGCGAAAGCAAAAAGTTTCCGTTATCGGTGCACACGTCTCACCGCATTGGAAAAACTCCCTGGTATACTTTCGCGGCCAGAGACGTGGCCGATATATGTACGAAGCGTTGGAAAAGCGTGGAGCTCTGCGCGGCGCAATACGAAAGTAAGAGCTCGTTTAGCGTTAATACAAATGATCGAATTTCTGCGTTAAAAGGTTCAATGCTTTTTCGCGAAAAGAGAAGAAAATAATTCATCGCTATTAGAGAAAGAAAAAGAAGAAAAGGAAGATGTATACAATCGCGATATAATAGAAAAATAAGAAATCGCATTAATACAGACGAGGGGAGAAGCTGAATTTTGCATCAAACGTCTGTCCAATGCTGTCTCGTGAGAAATATTGTTTTTCCAGAAAAGACATCTTTACATATGTATGCGAGGAACAAAAAAAAGAAAAAAATTGCGACGTTATTATTCATAAGACAGATGCGAACCTACCGACAATAAGTTTTTGCATACAATCGTAATGCAATAAAAAAATAAGAAATCATATTAATATAAACGAAGGGAAAAGCTGAATTTTTCATCAAACGTCTGTCCAATGTTGTCTCATGAGAAACATTGTTTTTCCAGGAAAGACATTATCTTTACATATATATATGCGGGGAACAAAATATGAAATTGCTACGCTATTATCCATAAAACAGATGCGAGATTACTGAGTTTTTGAAGCTTGGCTTGCAATTCGAATAATGAATGCGACGTCCGGTTCGCATTAGACATTGTGCACACTCGGTTGTATATTTTCTTCTGCATCTGTACGTATTTTCGCACGGTCTGTTCTCTATGTTTCCCGACGCTTACTCTTCCCGGACGGTGATAACTCGCGTTAGATGCCAACGCCGACATTCAGCTAACTGGCGGCTACCGCGCCCCACGTTTTATGCATCTCTCTCTCACTCTCTCGCTCTCTCTCTCTCTCTCGCTCTCTCTCCGCCCACTGGCAGCATCATGGTCAACGGGCACGTCCGTGTGCGTAAGATTTCTCCATTGTTACGGATGCTCGGTGTGCCGTAAATTACTAAACGTATCTCAATGTTGCAGCGCAATGCAAACTCGCGCCGTATATACATCATACGTGTAGAGATAGGGAAAATGTAGCGTTGGGAGAACGTAAAACGAGAGAGCTACTACTTCGCAGTACTGTACGAAATTGCAAGATATACCGATGCATTATGAAGGAATAGTACGAGCCATGATGCTTTATGAACGGACGGCACGGCGATATCTCAAATAGCGGATTTACACAGCAAGTATAGAGAGACGCATAGCAATATCTCAAGTAATATGTCTACGGAAAGAGCAAATAGGAAATTTGCTGCAAATATAGCTTATTTCAGATTCAAAACGAACGAGATGATGACGGACTTAATTTCACATCTCTTTAAATAGATGTCTTATAGAAAATTCGTTTAATTAAAACAAAATTTTATGTCTTATAGAAATTCTGAACCCAATCATAATAATTTTACTGCTTTTGTTTCTATTATTTAGAATGTTCTATAAATTTTTAATGTAAAATTTTTAATTCTCTTTATTTGGAAATATATAGAAAATCAAAATAAATTATTTTATATAGCTAAATATTTAATTTTTTGCAGACTACAAAAGATCAAAGTTAAAAATGTATGTGCAGCAAAAATAAAGATAATTAATTTTACAATATTCTGTATACTTTTCTGTATATTTCTCAAATTTTCGTAAATCTACTTACTTTTAAAATTAAAACAGTATTTTGATCTAGACTTACCAATACGATGCGCAGCGGTGGAGTTGGTGGCTACGTTGATCTGCAAAATACAAAAATAAATACAGATTATAATTAAACTTAAAATAATTTTCTATAAGTATAATAATTATTTTTTAATGATACAAAATACTATGCAATCATCATGAGAACAAACAATTAATAAAACAAGCAACAAATAATAAGTAATAAATTACCTTAACGTTGCTCCACCGCCTGATGCCCCCCCCGGCCTCCTTTTCCTCTCGGTAGTCCGTCGATGGCTGCTCCTTTCTCACTCGCGAAACTATGACGATCGCGCGATATTTTAAACGGCACTATCCGATATTAATTATTTTCTCGACGCGAGCTTTGTACAGCACAACAAAGCAAAAACTCGAGAAAACACAAAATCGCATGCAATTATAACCTACGCTCGCAACGTCGAAGCCGGCGGCCAAAGGGAAATACAATATACAATCTCAGTCACTAATCACGGAAAGCTAAGTCGTACGATTACTGCATCAACAATTATTTGTAAGAAATAATCTTATAATATTTGTCGCAAGCGCAATATAAGAGAAAATGTAGCTAGTTAGCGGAGCGGTTCCCTTTGCCGTCTGCTCGACTTGAATATAGCCATGCGAATAGTAGCAAGGTGATAGCGCGGCTACAATAGCAC